GTATAAAAAAGATCTATCTATCTATCTATTACTTATTAAGAAAGTAAAATCTCTCTGAACTTGGCAAGATTCTATTTCCTAACTGGTGCTACATGGATAGAGCTTATGTATAGAGAGAGAGAGAAAAAAGTATAATTCAGGATAACACCAGAAGTGCTATTTCTAGGTCAAAGGTGAATACCATGTACGTTTGTTAGATACTGCTCAATTCCATTCAACGGGGGATGTACCATATTGGATCCCCACCATCATGTGTGAGTGACTGCTTCCTCACAGCCTTGCCACAGAGTAGGTCGTCAAGATTCTGAGGTTTTGTCCTGTTGACAGCTGCGCCGTAGCTTAAATTCATGTCTTGTTCCGTGCACAGAACTTGCTTTCTTCCACCAGGTAAGTGGCTCCTGAGACCTCATCTCAGAGAAATGGCTTCCATTCAGGCTCTAAGTACTTGTTCTTCAACTCCAACCCCTCTTTCCTCCCTGTCTAGACAGATAAGGTTAGTCAGATTGTAGGAATGGGATCCTCGCTGTCATTATCGCCAGGATGAAATCTGCCGAGACGAGAGAGGGCAGGCCGCACGTCCGTGCCAGTGCTGCACTGGTGTGGACTGGACAGCTTGCCAACGTGCACAGAGCCTCCCGCAGGAGCACACAGACAACTCCCTCCCCACTGAGTGGCGAGCAAAAGGAGGTTCACGGAGATGAAGTGGCCTGTGCAGCCTGCGAGTACAGAATCTAGGACTAGGGATCCATGTTTGGGCTCCTGCTAAGTGCCTATGACGTTAGGGAACGGTCCCCAGGACTACCTTCACTTCTGACACCAGTGGCATGTCCAGGGATTCCCACAGCCACTCTAAGTCCAAGAATTCACTAGAAGGACTCTCAGAACTTGCTGAAACCTATTATACTCGCTGTTATGATTTATTAAGTGAAAGGATACAGATGAAAAGCAGCCAAGGGAAGAGACACATAGGGTCTGAGCGAGTTCCATACACAAAGCCTCCAGCTATCCCTCTCCCGGTGAGGCCATGGACAGTGTCAACTCTTGGAGACAGTGTGTGACAATAGACATGGACTACTGCCAACCAGGAAAGTTTACTCAAGCCATGGTGTCGAGCTCGTTTTATTTGGGCCTTGATCTGGAGGACATGGTCGGTCACCCACACGGCTGATCTCAGTCTCCAGTCTGTCCAAGGATTGAGCTGATACCGCATGACCAGCGCCCCCACACGAATCACACTGTTAGACCGTCTGGCACGGCCCGAGGATCCAAGTAAACAAAGTCACTCTTATCAGGAAGGACATTCTCAGGGTTTGGAGATCAACTCCTGTGGACTGAGGGCAAAGACCAGATCGCTTTGGGCAAGGTTAATTCTTCACTGCACAATGCCCTCTCCTTTAATCCATTATGACAAGTCAGGGTGCCTGCTCACCAGCACAGCGGGGCTCAGCCTCTGCAACTGCACATCTGGGATGGAGGAGCCCCCGTGGCTGAGCACCAGGACTGGGGGTAGTGGAACCCAAGCATAACAGAAGGGAGGCTGGCACAGAGGACTCAGGAGTGAACTGAACGATGGCCTTCGGAAAGAGCAAGTACAATCGATACTGGTGACTGAGAATTGCATCTGATACTTTTCTCTGCTCATCAAAGGGTCGAAGAAATGTGCTTGCTTGAGCCCCTTATCTATCGGCTCAGGCCCAGCTGGCCTCACTATCATTCTCTGAGTGCATCCAGGACCCCTAGGTGGTGCCCATTTTCAGCTTGGGCAGCAAATTAAAAAAAAAAAAAAAGGGAATCCAAAGATTAACAAGCCTTACTCTTCTATCAAATTACATTTCCCGGTGAGGTACTGTTACAGTGAAAACTGGCTTGCAATCTGTGCAAAAGGTGTGAGTTCACCTCTTTGTTCGCTTTTTAAATCTTAGCCGTGGGAATGTTGTTGACATTCGGAAAAATGTTCCGCCCCCATTTAGGACAAAGTTTCACAGACACGAGGCCAGGCCTCACAGCGGAGAGGAGGAGGAGGAGAGGAGGGGGGACAGCGGGCTGGGAGCGAGGAGCCCTGTCCCCGTCCCCTCAGAGCTTTCGCTGCGGGCACGGGTGTGATCTGGAGGAAGATGGAGGGCCCCTTCTCCAGCTCCCTGAGCCCGTCCCAGCTGCTCTTACGGGACTTGGCTCTCTTGCAGCCTTCCCTGGAGAGGACCCCACAGCCACAGGCGGCTGCTTCATTTCTTCACAACACAGCCAGATGCCTGGGAGAGCCCAGCCCCAACGCCTGGTTCCCAAAGCGCTGGGGGGGGGGGTGCCTGTTGGGGCACAAGATGGAAACGGATGAGAAGACTTCTCACTGGAGACTTGCTCCTCCCTGCCCCCTTCCTCTGCCCTTTCTCGTTCCCTCAAAGGAACCCAGAAGCTTCCTCCCAGGGAAACTCTGCTTATCAGTTAACAAGTATTTCTTAACGCCAAGCATTGGTGGGAGTGATGATGGGGAGACACAAATGATAAAAACAAACCAGAAAAATACCAGCGGGTGGCCATTGCTTACAGAGGAGTAAAACAGTGTTCGGTAGAGAATGGGTGGGTGGTTTTCCCATGGTCAGGAATGGTCTAGAAGGTGACAAAGAAGGGCACCTGGCTGGCTCAGTCAGAAGAGTATACAACTCTTGATCTCAGGGTCATGAGTTCGAGCCCCACATTGGTTACAGAGATTACTTAAAATACATAAAATTTTTTTAAAAAGGTGACATTGAAATAAAGGCTTGAAAGACAAGAGTGGGCCAGCAATGTGACGAGCGGCTGTGGAGAAAGAAAAGGGAAACAACCTTGACTTGATGAAGCAGCCTGACTTGCCCCGGAAGATGTGGAATCAAGTAGGGAGAATTGAACCGGCTGAGACATGGCTTCTCCACCTTGTGGGGTGAGCGTTTGAAAGAGAAATGTACAGGGAGATCAAGAAAGCTACGGTCCTCTCCGTGAGGGGGAGAGGCAGGCTAAAGAACAGGGCTGTGGGCTGCTCCACTGAAACCCACTGAAAAGTCTCCAGGGTCTTCCTACAGACTTGCCCCGGTGGGGACCTGCATTGTTTTCGGCATAGTGGGTGGTAATGAGCAGGGACACTGGCCTCAGACGGAGAAATCTTTGAATTCTGAGTGTGTGACCTTAGGCAAAAATTTAATGAGTCGGAGCCTCAGTTTCCTCACTGTAAAAGGGGTATAATGAACCCTCCCACTCAGGGAGGTCAGGAGGGCTAGATGGGATGGCCCAGCACAAGGGACCACAAAGGACAGTGCACAGCCACACATCAGAGGTCCTCAGGGTGGTCCCGGAGGACTGCTCAGAGGGATAAGCAGGGTTCCCTTTGGATTTCCCAGGGGCAAGGTTAGGGGCAGGGTCTAGGAAAGGAGTAAGGAATGTCTACAATCTGGTGGGCTCTTTTCTGGCAAACTCCTGGCAAGGACCAAAGGGCACTATCCCAGGCTGCTGTTATATAACTGGTTACATAACTGCTTCCGGGGAAACATAATTCTACTGAAGGCTGCTACTGAACAGAATCATTTGTAATTGTTTTAAGATACACCATTTCCCCACAGCAACATGGCAAGAGGCAGCAAAACAGGCAATGCGGGTGGCTTGTGACCGTCTAGGAGGTTCTCATTTCCAGGGGCTGTCGACATAAGCTGAAAGAAAAAGGCAGAAGAAAGCCCATCTTGTTTTGGGACACAGAAGATCAGAATTCCAGTCCTGCCCGGGTAGCCTTGGGCAAGTGGCTTAACCCTCGCTACTCAAAGTGTGGTCCGTGCGCCAGCGGCAGAGGGACACCTGGGAGCTTGGTGGAAATGTACAACTCCAGGCTCCACCGTGGATCTGCTGTCAGAGCCTGCATTATTAGCCAGACCTCTCCGTGATTCTACACGCGTGAGAACTGGGGAGGCGTTCGTTAAACTGCATACCTGAAATATCGGGGCGCCTGGGTGGCTTAGTCGGTTGAGCGTCCGACTTTCACTCAGGTCATGATCTCGCGGTTCGTGGGTTCGAGCCCCGCGTCGGGCTCTGTGCTGACTGCCAGCTCAGAGCCTGGAGCCTGTTTCATTCTGTAACTCCCTCTCTCTCTGACCCTCCCCTGCTCACGCTGTCTCTCTCTCTCTCTCCTAGAAATAAATAAAAAACAGTAAAAAAAAAAAAACTGCATACCTGAAATATAATGCTGTATTTTAACTGAAATTATTACTATTGTTATTATATTTTTTACTTTTTTTTTCTTAATGTTTATTTTTGAGAGACGGAGCGCAAGTGGGAGAGGGGCAGGGACAGAGGGTGAGACATAGAATCTGAAACAGGCTCCAGGCTCTGAGCTGTCAACATAGAGCCCGACATGGGGCTCGAACCCACAAACCGTGAGATCATGACCTGAGCCGAAGTCAGACAGTTAACTGACTGAGCCACCCAGGAGCTCCTGTTGTTATATTTTTAAAATAAGCTCTATGCCCAACGTGGGGCTTGAAATCATGACGCTTGAGATCAAGAGTCATATGCTCTACTGATGGACCCAGCCAGGCTCCCCTTAACCAACTGGAATTAAAACGGAAACTTAAAAAGCCAAAAAAAAAAAAAAAAAAAAAAAAAGAACTGGGAAGCATTTAACATCCCTGAGAGTCACTCTCCTCAGACAGGGGCCAAAATGGCTTTTAAGCAAATTAACAGCTTTTTTTTTTAATTTGCTAAATCATTCTCACCAATATATCATTCCAAACAAGCTTTCGAATCCTTTGTCAGCACTCTGCCAAATAAGAAACCCATTGGAATCCTCATCAGAATTGAATTAAAAATATAAAATAATTTGCAAAATTGAGATCTTCATATTTGTTTTCCCTATCCAGGAACATGGGCTGTCTCTTATTCAGTCTTTTTATTTTTTATTCAAGTATAATTAATACGAAGCATTATATTAATTTCAGGTATACAATATAATGATTCAACAATCCTATACATTACTCAGTGCTCATCATGATCAAACGTGCTTCACGAATTTGTGTGCCGTCCTTGTGTTGGGGTTATACTAATCTTCCGTGTATCATTCCGATTTTAGTATCTGTGCTACCAAAGCAACCAATAGATATAACCCGCTTCAGAACAATTAAAAATCAAGCAGGTGGCACCTGGCTGGCTCAGGTGGTAGAACATGCAATTCTTGATCTCATGGTTGTAAGTTCGAGCCCCACATTGGGTGTAGAGATTACTTAATAAAATCTTTAAAAACAAAATTAAGCAGAACAGAGAGTAAATGTGAAAAGCAAAGTCCTCCTCCATTGCCCAACTCCTCTTCATCCCACAACAGGCTACAACTCCTGCCCTCTCTAGACACTCCCTGGACCTCCTGCAGCTTGGCCTGGTATTGGGTCTTTCTCCTTTGTAGGCAGCCAACCCCTGCACTCTAGGCATTACTTGCCTGGAGTTTGGAGGGTAGCAGTGGAAAATCACTCCCCCCACCCCCCGCCCCACAAGCAAACATGCTCTTCAGAGAAATGTTCACTCTGATCTGGCTGACAGATTGCTCCCTTTTTCCATGAGCCCACAGGAGGGGATGGTTCTAGGTCAAAACCTGGTCCAGCCACCTCTTACCAAGTTATAAGGAGAGATCCCTACACCTCTCTTAAGAATGAATGGGTGGCTCAGTCATTCAAGCAGCCAAGTCATGATCTCATGGTTTGTGAGTATGAGCCCTAGATTGGGCTCTGTGTTGGCACCTGCTTGGGATTCTCTCTCTCTCTCTCTCTCTCCCCCCACCACCCCTCCCCAGCTCTAAGTAAATAAATAAAACTTAAAAAAAAAAAAAAAAAAAGGCCAGGGTCTTGGGGCACCTGGGTGACTCAGCGGGTTAAGTGTCTGACTTCATCTGACATCATGATCTTGCAGTTTGTGAGTACAAGCCCCACATCGGGCTTTCTGCTGTCAGTGCAAAGCCTGCTTTGGATTCTCTGTCTCCCTCAATCTGCCCCTCCCCTGCTCATCCACATACACACTCTCTCTCTCTCAAAAATAAACAAACAAACGAAAAAAAGGTCAGGGTCTTGTCACATGTCACTTATATTGTGGGTTTGGTGTCAATTAATATTCCTGAACAGGGGTCTGCTACAGTTTTCCACATCTTCAGTTGGTGGATTGGCTCCAGACAGTCCTGACCTGTCCCAATGATCATTTCATGGTCAGCTCCTTCAATACAAACATGACATTGATCGAAATATGACTTCCCGTCATGTGGGCCATTCTTAGAAGATGCTCTAAGGGAAATCAACCAGCATCTTGGGCTTCCCCGACTACTCAGATACCTTCCATCTTTCTCTAGTTTGAAGAGTCTGGGCTTCTTGGCCCAACATACAATCTGAGGTTGTCACCTATCATCACAACTAATGAACAATAAATAGTATATACTCTGCTAACTTCTGTGTAAAGCAATTCTAGTGCCAATACCAATGTGTGCATGTTGGTGGGGGGGAGGTGCTCCCCACACCATTCAACAAGTATCCGGACACCAGCCAAGTGTGCTACAGTTCAACTCAATTCTGCCACTATCTACCCAGAGAGAGCATCGGATTCCACAGGGTAAGGGCTCAGTCCTGTAAGAATGGTCTCCCCACCCCTCAACCTCAGAAGCTGGTCATAAGCCCAATTTATCACCTGTGCTTCTGACCAACCAGCTATGGACCCAACCAGCTAACGACCCCCTCCTTGGCCTTGATTAATGTGTTAGAGCGGCTCATGGAACTTAAGAGGAGCATGTCACTTGCTACATTACTGGTTTATCAGAAGAGGACAGAACTCAGGAACAGCCAGCTGGAAGAGATGCGCAGGGCAGAGCGTGGGGAATGCGTGTAGAGCATCCATGCCCTCTCCCAGGGTGCCCCTCTCCCGAAATCTCCACATGTTCACCCACCCACAAGCTCTCTACTCTACCCGTCCTTTGGGGATTTTGCAGAGATCTCAGTGGATAGGCCTAACTGATTAAGCCACTGGCCACTGGTGAGACCCAACCGCCGGCCTGTCCCCCTGGCGCAGGGCAGGGGACGTGACTTTAAGTTCTAAGCTTCAAAGCACACGGTTGCTTCTCAGGGGAACCGGTTCCCATCCTCAGGTACTTCCAAGAGTCACCTCACCAATAGTCTTAACACTTAGAGAACTGCAAGGGCTTTGTGAGGAGCTCTGAGCCAGACACGGAAGAAGATCAAGGATGTATCTAACCGGAGTATCAGACTTGACACGACTATCCTTTCCTTAGCAAAATGCAGACCTAAGGGACATAAGCAGCCTGCACCTTCTTTTGATTTATTTACCAAGTATTTATTAAGAGTTTATTCATCAAGTATTTATTAAGAGTTTACTCTGTGCCAGCGCTATGTTGGCACTCATGGTTTAATGATGAAGGACACAGGCAAGGTCAAAGTTGAAGAAAGACACTCTTGTGAGCTGGCCTTCAGTTATTTTTAATTCCAAAGGAAAAGACTCTCTGAAAACTGACAAACTTACCTCAGTCTTGTTGGAAGTAAACTGAGGCATATTAAACACTTTGAGCAATAATCAGTCGGAATCAGGCAGCATCCAATCTAGCAGATGGGAGCCCTGAGGAGCTCCTATCTGAAAATGAAAGACTTTTATAGGCAGAAGGGAAGAGAAACAAGGAAGTTACATGGGGCAAAAAAAGTGGGTTCATGATGATAGGTTACTTTCCTTTGGGGAAGACACGGAGTCTGTCAGGCAGAACACTCAGCGAGTGCTGATTCCTGACTGACTGGTTTAAGATTCCATTTCTGGAGCCAAAACCGTAGTTCAACTAATTCTCGGTTTGGTGACGTGGGCTTAACATAAGCAACTCACTTTGGGGCTAGCTGGCTTGATTTTAAAGTCCCAACCGAAGGTGAATCTTTTTCTTTTTTTTTAATGCTTATTTATTTATTTTGAAAGCGAGAGTGAAAGAGAGAGAGTGTGAGCAGGGGAGGGGCAGACAGGGAGGGAAAGAGAGAATCCCAAGCAGGCTCCACACTGTCAGCACAGTGGGACTCAAACTCATGAACCATGAGACCATGACCTGAGTGGAAATCAAGAGTCTGACGAACTGACTGAGCCACCCCGGTGCTCCAACCAAAGGTGAATCTTAGATCTTATAAAAATTTGCTGAGCAGTATTTTTAATAGTTAAGCATTTAAAAAAACTATAATATTTTTGGAAGAGTTAACACAGTACATGAACACGGCAAAGTCAAATGGCCCAAAAGGGTACCCAGGGAAAAGCCCTACCCTTCCTTCCTAACCCTGTTTCCGGCTCCATCTCCCATGCTGGAAGGTGAAGTTTTGGGCTTACTGCCTAAGTGTGGCCTCCTACTCAGCTCTCTGTCTTCCTCTGTCCTATCTGAGATCTTTGGACCCAAGGGCCTTGGCTTGCTGGACAAAAGGGGTGGGGGTGAGAACAAGTCCCCAATCCCCACATGAGGACTTGCGTTCTCATACCTAATCAGCTGTTTGTTTGTTTTTAACGTTTATTCATTTTTTGAGAGACAGAGAGAGACAGAGCATGAGCAGGGGAGGGGCAGAGAGTGAGGGAGACACAGAATCCGAAGCAGGCTCCAGGCTCTGAGCCTTCAGCACAGAGCCCGACGCAGAGCTCGAACCCACAAACTGTGAGATCATGACCTGAGCTGAAGTCAGATGCTTAACCCACTGAGCCACCCAAGTGCCCCTCCAATAAGCTATTTGGAGTAGAGATAGAAGTCATTCATTCTCAAATGCTTATTGATGGTTCCAGGCATTTGGAATACACCAGCCAGTAAGACAAGCAAGGCTCTGCACTCACGACGGCTCACATTCTAACACGGGAGGACAGAGTGAAACAGACACAGGATAAGTAAATTACAGGAATGAGCAAACCTTCCTTCTTGCAGGTGGAGAGCTGCAGAGGGGTGGGCTGATGAGTGCCTGGTGTACAAACAGGGTGGAAACATCCGCCTTCTTGCTCCTCTCACTGCAAACTGAAGAGCTTTTAAGTTGGAAAGTAGAAGTCCCTCCCTCCTTCATCACCCACAGTGCAGGGGCTTGTGGCTACCACCCATGGCTCTAATGAGAACAAATGATCCCCTGAGGACGTTTTCCTGTGCTTCCCTTCAACAACAAAAATAAAACAGACCTCAAAACACAGGAACCCTGTGAATGACGCAGTATTCATCTTCGAGCAGTGCTCTTTTAGAAAAGGAACCATTTCCGATTTCCATTAAGACTTCTTTTGGCCAGCGGGTTGGAGGCGGGGCCCAGGAAGAAAGGAGTGAGTGCACAACACATGCAGGCCCCATGATCCTGGGCATGCCCTCGTGTGTGCAATTACCTGGTGTGAAATGAGGCAAAAACGGCCCCTCTTCACCCTTCACTGTAAGTTTTTAACTGTGGTAAAATATACATCACATAAAATTTACTACCATAACTATTTTAAAATTTTTTTAAAATGTCTTTATTTATTTCTGAGACAGAGAGAGACAGCGTGAGCAGGGGAGGGTCAGAGAGAGAGGGAGTCACAGAATCTGAAGCAGGCTCCAGGCTCTGAGCTAGCTGTCAGCACAGAGCCCGACACAGGACTCAAACCCACAAACCGTGAGATCATGACCAGAGCCGAAATCGGACGCTCAACCACCCAGGCGCCCCTACCATAACCATTTTTAAGGACACAGTTCAGTGGTACCAAGTACATTCACACTTGTACAGCTATCACCACCATCCACCTCCAGACCTTTGTTCATCTTGCAAAACTGAAACTCTGTCCCCATTTAACAACAACTCCCCATTCTCCTCTCTCCCAGCCCCTGGCACCTCCCATTCGGCTCTCTGTGTCTGTGGCCTCCTGCGGGACCCTCATATAAATGGAATCATACAGTATTTGTCCTTTTGTGTCTGGTTTATTATCACTCAGCATAATGGAAGGTAACCTCCTGGTTCATTCCTGTTGTAGCAAGTATAAGGATTTCCCTCCTTCCTTTTTAATGCTGAGTAATATTCCATTGCATTTCTAGACCATATTTTGTTTATTGTTCATCCAGGGACACTTCAGTTCCTTCCACCTTGTAGTTATTA